AGCTAAAAAGTAGGGAAGAGACAGTAAACTAGTTGCTCCGATCTGAATTGTCACTTAAGAGAAACTGAAGGTCATACAACTGCAACAAGAGAAAAATCCTCATGCGATATAGTCCTAGTTATAACGCTTATGCAAGTGTGTTCTGGTCTCCAAGATGGGAGCATATAAAGTCCCGAGATGTCCACACATACATGGACAAACACTCAAAGGAGAAGTCTTTCTAACAAGAACTTATAGCCATCCATTGCAGTACTTCAGTTGTGTCACACAACTGCAACAAGAGAAAAATGCTTTTGCCATGGCAACCGTGTCATAGTTTTCCTGTTGCACAATGGCTTCCACTCGCTCCTGTTCGTTGCCTGTGCTGTGTGCATTGGTGTAGGTGCACTTCAGTTGGGTTATTGATCCCATCACCTTTTTGAGGGGAGAAGCCCTAATTCCTATGTGACCATTCTCAGGCACTTCCATGGTTTTTAACATATCAATAACCCTTGTGTCTTTTTGCCACGTGTATCAATCTTCTGCCTCCACTGAGATGGCAGATCGAAGAACTTTGAAGTGGCTGGTCTTCTGGTTCACATCCTGGGAGGCAGCTAGGGAACATTTGTCACTCCTCTGGCTGGCCTGGCTTATTCTCCAGTTGGCTGCCATGGCATGAGCATCACCACTTTGGACCCTTCCTCCTGCTTCCTTCAGCTGGCCAGCCTGCTGCCAAAGATTCCCTTGCCTCTTCTAGACAGGTAGATGCCATTCCTTCCTAGCAGGCTATAGTTATTGAGGAATGTTCCTTTGTCTTAAAAGCCAAAACACTCATGACGGCACCAGGCACAAAGCCAGAAGTTGATTTACATTATAAGTCTATTTCTGGGTGCATCCTTTCCTCTAACTGGTAAAATGGAAGAAAAGGTATCTTGAGCAACAATACTTTTCACTTGCACCCCCAGGGCTTTGTAGTCTTCCTTGATTCTGCTCAAGTTCTGGTTTGTGCTGTCAGTCACACCCACATGAAAGAGTACCAACAGACAGCGTGTGCTCTCAACAAGTTGTGGCCAGCACCCTTCCAGCAACACCTAGGACTTTAATGAGGGAACCTACGTTTATTTATCTTTCATCCAGAACAGAATAAACTACAATCTCCACCCAGCCAAATGTAACGAATCAAAAGGCAAATTATATTTGAAATGATGTAGTTTAGTTATGTTCTAGAAAGTAAACAGTACTATAGACAACACAGCAGGGCATAAGCAATCCAGCAGATTCCTGAAAAGCGTTGATGATAACTTCCTCCTCCAAGCAACAGAGGAACCAATGAGGAGAGGTGCCATGCTAGACCTTGTTCTCACCAATAGGGAAGGGCTCGTGGTCAATGTTAAGCTCATGGTCAATGTTAAGCTCATGGGCAGCCTTGGCTGCAGTGACCATGAGATGATGGAGTTTAAGATCCTACAGGCAGCAAAGAAGGGGACGCTCAGCAAGCTCGAAACCCTCGACTTCAGAAGAGCTGAACTTGGCCTCTTCAGGAACCTCCTTGGTAGCATGCCATGGGATGAAGTCCTCGAGGGCCTGGAACCCCAGGAAAGCTTGTTGACTTTCAAGGATCATCTCCTCCAAGTTCAAAGGCACTGCATCGCTAAAAGAAAGAAATCTGGCAAAAATGCCAGAACACCTATACTGATGAACAAGGCACTCCTGGCCAAAATCAAACACAAAAAGGTAATCCCCCAAAGGGTGGAAGCAAGGACTGGTAACCTCGGCTGATTACAAGGAAGTCGCTCGTGTAATCAGAGATCAGGTTAGAAAAGCTAAAGCCCTGATGGAATCAAATCTGGCCAGGAATATTAAAAATAACAGAAAAGGATTCTACAAGTGAGAATGTGGGGCCAGTCCAGAGCGATACAGCGGACCTGGTTATGGAGGATATAGAGAAGGCTGAAGTACTCAATGACTTTTTTGCTTCAGTCTTCACTGATAACCACATGAGCCACACCACCCAAGTCACAGAGGGCGTTGGTTGGGTCTGTGAGAGTGAAGAACCACCCAGTTTAGGAGCAGATCAGACCCAGGAACACCAAGAGAACCTGAAGGTGCACAAGTCCATGGGACCTGATGAGATACACCCACGGATTCTGAAGGAACTTGCAGCTGAAGTTGATGGGCCACTGGCCATCGTATCTGAGAAGTCGTGGCAGTCTGGTGAAGTTCCCACAGACTGGAAAAAGGGAAACATAACCCACATTTTTAAAAAGGGAAGCAAAGAAAACCCAGGGAACTGCAAACAAGTCAGCCTTACCTCAGTGCCAGTTAAAACTATGGAGTGGATCCTCCAGGCACATGAAAAATAGCGAGGTGATCAGTGACAGCTAAGGTGGCTTCACTAAGGGTAAATCGTGCCTGACTAATTTAGTGCCCTTCTATGACAAAGTCACAGAGCTGGTTGACATGGGAAGAGCAACTGATGTCATCTACCTGGATTTCTGCAAGGCATTTAACACTGTCCCACATGACATCCTTGCCTCTAAGATGGAGATTCATGGACTTGATGGATGGACCACTCGGTGGATAAGGAATTGGCTAGAAGGCCTCATTCAAAGAGTTGTGGTCAATGGCTTGACATCCATGTGGAGACCAGTGACAAGCTGAGTTCCTCAGGGGTCTGTTCTGGGTCCAGTGCTGTTCAACATCTTTGTCAGTGACATGGACAACGGCATTGAGTGCACTCTCAGCAAGTGTGCTGATGACACCAAACTCTTTGGTGCAGTGGACTCACTTGAGGGAAGAGATGCCATCCAGAGGGACCTTGATCTGCTTGAGAAATGGGCCAGTGCAAACTGCATGAGCTTCAACATGTCAAAATGCAAGATCCTGCACCTGGGTTGGGCCAATCCCAGGCACAAATACAAACTAGGCACAGAGTGGGTTGAGAGTAGCCCTGAAGAGAAGGATTTAGGAGTGTTGATAGATGAGAAGCTCAACATGAGCCGGCAGTGCGCTCATGCAGCCCAGGAGGCCAACCATGTCCTGGGATGCATCAAGAAGAGTGTGGCCAGCAGATCAAGAGGTGATTCTCCCCCTTTACTCTTGGAAGACTCCACCTCAAATACTGTATCCAGTTTTGGTGTCCTCACCATAAGAGGGATATGGATCTCTTGGAGTGAGTTCAGAGGAGGCCACAAGGATGATCCAGGGGCTGGAGAACCTGTGGTACGAGGACAGGCTGCAGGAGCTGAGACTGTTCAGTCTGGAAAAGAGAAGATTCCAGGGGGACCTTATAACTGCCTTCCAATACCTGAAGGGAACCTACAGGAAGGCTGTGGAGCAACTTTTTACAAGAGTGTTCAGCGACAGGACAAGGGGAAATGGATTTAAATTGAAGGAGAACAGGTTTAGACTGGATCTTAGGAAGAAATTCCTGAGTACGAGGGTGGCAAGACTCTGGAATAGATTGCCCAGAGAGGCTGTGGATATCCCCTCCCTGGAGCTGTTCAAGGTGAGATTGGAGGAGGCCTTGAGCAACGTGGTCTAGTTAAGGGTATCTTTGCCCACAGCACGGACCTTGATCTCTAAGGTCCCTTCCAACCTAAGACATTCTGTGATTCTACTATTGATGTGAGCAACCTTCCATGTACTTAATTTGATACACGTTGATTTTTCCAGGTATTTACACTACCTACTGTTTCTATATATGGGATAGCTTCCTTATTTAATGTAAAAAAAATGGTTTCCAAGTTCTCTGTGAAGACAAATTGTCAAAATTATTCAGAGGAAAACTACACCTTTATTAATAAAATTAAGGTGCAAGAGCAACCTTAAAAATGCATCTAGAGAAATAACTTAAACTTTTCTTAAAATTTAACTGAAACATATAGCAAACACAACTACCTGTGGGATCTTTATTGTATTCCTTCTTCCACATCCTATCTGAATATTCTTCATTTAAAAAGACAGATCAGTAGGTAACCTGCCTACTTCATTGCAGATGGCTTTGCATATTAAAATAAATTAACGGAAGTAAAAAGTGCTCAGTGCAAACATGCAGAACATGGATATTCATAGTTGCAAAGAATATAAAAATAGAGATTAAAGCCTGTTGGGCTCAAAATGCTTTATATGAGTTTCAGTATCATTATTTTCAGTTTGTAAAGGAAGAGTTTGCTGAAGATCACCATGTAAGCTCATGGCAAAATTAGAAAACTTCACACTAGATCTACAGAACTCCCTATATATTTGCATATATTCCTGAAGAAGTACAAAGACAAAAACAAGCATCACATATTTCACAATGAAAACATTCAAAGCAGACGAAAATGGAGGATGAAAAAAAATATTATTTTGGCATTTGAGTTAACTCTTTAGTAAAAGTCCCATCCCTCCAAAATTCACATGCAGAACACCTGATTTCTTCACACACCCAAGTGGATGGTATTTACAAATGGTTACAATAACGTGCATTATTCTCTACCAAGAGTGTCAAAGAAACCTTTCCATTTTGCTTGAAGCAGGTCTGATGAGTTATTGATTTCTAGAACAGCCAGCAATACTAAGAGCAAAATTCGCTAAAAAAGAAGTGCACACTTTCTTTCTTTCATCTGTGCAAAGCTCACCATTAGGATGGCAAAGTTTCCTAAAGTTTAGTATACATACACAAAAAATGCAAAAAGCAGATTTTCATTTCTCATCACTTAACCAAGATTATTGTATGTGCTTGACTTGATCCACAGCTCTCTTAAAATGAATCCTTTCACTGATCCAGTGGACTTTAGGACTCATCCTCAGCTTCATGACCCCCTTCCTACCAGTGAACATACAGTGACCATGCCAATCAGACTGAAAGAGGGTATTCCACCCAAGACTCCGTGTGAAGAAGAATGAAGGAGGAATTGTAACTACTTACCTGAAAGGCCTGTATACAAAAATCCTAGTCAACAAAAAAAAAGCATGTTAAGCATCACAATGAAAATACAAACTATAGGCATCTGTACACAATTCAAGAAGCTCCATACTTCTCTTCTTGATGCTGGTCCTCTTGGTCACTTAGTTCATCATCATCTACCATGTGTCCAAATGGTTCAGAAGAAATTGATACCATATTAGACAGGATAACTCTGCTATCACTGCTTCCTGTGAGGATCAGCTGATCATGAGAATGATTGTATCTGACATTCCAGACCCTAAAAAAGTGAAATCAGAAAAAACAAGAGGTTATTCTTTGCAGGTAGTGAGTGCATCAATGTTAACTTCTTTGTGTGTTTTTTTTTTTAAAAAAGCACTAGAAATTGGTCTTTGACTTAAATGTTGAAAGTACATAGAGAAGTGACATGCTTCATTCCAAACACTGGTTTTTGCCATCTTCATTTGGCTGTTAAGCTTTCACATCATCTATTTTCTAAGAGATGTCTTTAAAATTCACCAAATAAGTTTTGAAAAAAAATCCAAAGAGCAAGACACACCATTCAGTGGTATTAGTCCTTGAGGGAACACGCCGATTCCTTGTTTGGTAAGTCAGATAAATATTTAAGTACTAAATACAAAAATTTCCCCAAAGCAAAATATGGATTATAAATAACCTGTTAAACAAATATCTCACAATATTCTTACAGTAAAGTTTAAAATAGACCCTAAAACAAAAGTAGGATTATACTTCTTTTCAATTTTTACATTTTACATATCAAGTTAATACCAAATGTCTTATGGTTCTTGTTTTATTCTTTTTCTTTTAATTTTCTGGAAAAAAAGTATAAATGCCGTTTCTGTTAATTCACATCTTCATTCCCCTTAAAGTAGCTTCAGGGTCCAGATCTATTTTGCAAGAATTACTCCAGCCCAAATTTTTAAAATATGAACTGCTCATCTTTTCTTAACTGCTGAAGCCTGCAACATCGGACAAGATTCTCCTCTTGCTTCAGCCACAGGACAGGGTGGTAGATACAGGCTCTAAATACTATCTCAAATAAAATTAGTCACTTGCATATTCTGGCTAACAGGCTATGAAGAGCATGCAAAAAAGCGGGAGTGAATGATTGAACATTTCAGCCACTCGGCAACGGAAGGATAGATGGCAGCTGCTTTTCTACATGTTTGGTGCATCAGATCAGGCTCAATTTGGGAAGCACACCTGTGTCCCAGCTGGGCCCTACAAGCCAAGCTCTGTGCTTCTCAAAGGAGTTACCCTACCTCCCAACAATGTTAACGACAGCTTCTTGCCAATTAGGCTAACATTGTCTAAACTCTTAATTTACAATCACTCAAGGAACATTCACGTTTGAAACCCTTCCTCTGTGCAGAAAAATGATTATTCACAATAGCACAAACATAGTTAGTTTGCATTGTTCCTAAACAGTAAAATAATTAGCTGAATAAATTACACAAGCCATCCACCCACAAAACAGCATGCAGATAATTTGTTCTACCAGTGGGAATGCTCCTCTAGTGTCTTCACTGGTTCAGTGACATTTCTTGTGTCCCAGAATTTCACCTTGCAGTCATCTCCACAGCTAGCCAGGTAGTACTGTTTATTGGGATTAAAGTCTAGGTCTCGTACCAGCTGTCCATGTGCATTTTCTATGCAATATATCTGCCTGTAAAACACATTAAAAAAATTAAATGGTCTATAAAAAGCTAACTGCATTCCACTGACAGGAATCTGTTTCCCTGGAAACTTGCATAATCCCCTTAGCACCCGCAGACCTAGAGTTCCCGTTGCTAGTGCATAGTTTAGGGAAATCCCAGCTGTTAATAACAGTGACTTGTATAGATTTCTCTGCTTGCTTTCAAGCTTTGCTTTTTCCTTGTTTGCCTTAGGATCATCTGGAGCTAAAAGGAAACAGTAGTTCCAGATGTTTCTAGCACAGCTCTCTAACGACTGTTATGAAATGTCTGCTACTAAACCATAATATTTTCAGATAAAAGCTTCTCCACCCCTAAGTAGTTACATTAATTCTGTACTTATGACATCTAGTTCTCCTTATATGAAACACTGAGATGCAAGGGGTGCAACAGAGACAAACAACAGCTTTTTATTACTGCTCTGTTTTGAACTTACCTTCTTGAGCTCTGGCATTTATCATTCATTTACCTGTGGCCCTTAAACTACTTAGCCATGCGCATCCTCATCCATCTGGACCACTTCAGAAAACATCTGCAGTACTGCTAACAACCTAGCATCCTTATTCAAAACATCACGTTCCATTAGTTTGCCTCTCTATCTCACCTTTTAAACTTTGGGTTTGGTTACATGAGGGGTTTTTTGTTTGTTTTTGCTGATTCATTACTAGTTTTCCCAAAGCCACCATCTACCAATGTTCTGCTTAGATTTGACAGTCTTGTACAATATTCATTAGAATCTGTTAACAATTTGTGAGCTTTCCTCTCTTTTTTAGATGGAAAATGTTTATCTTCAGAAAACATAAGACTGAACAAAACTAGATAGAGAAGTCTCTTGCTGTTAATACCTAGCTACGAATACAAAGCAAAGTAGCTCCATTAGGAGAGATTCAAAGTACACCAGGGCTATAGTAAATCTTACCTTGACAGCTATGGCAGTCTCTCAGGATAGAGGATATTACTCAGATATCCAACATCAACTCTCAGAGTTTAAGAGGTTGAGGATATATTAAACATATGCCTTTCTATCAAGTCTTCTGGGAGCTGAATTCAACATTTCCTCTTAATTTCTTGAAACATCCTTATGGGAAATTTTTTAAATCTCAAGTGTGCTTGCAGCAATAAAACACCTTTCTCCTTTGTTGCCCCTTTCACTCCTTTCGTGCACTTCTTGCATGGGTAAGGAGATGTGTATAAGAGCTTAAAAAGAAATACCACTGTCCACCATATATTGAATAGTGTTTATGCTGAAAGCCGTTACTTAACTCTTCTTCTGATTATTTGATCCCTTTCCTTCTTCACTCTGTCACCCTACCTACAGCAATACCCACATTGAATTTCTCACATCCTAAGATGCCAGACCATGTGAACTATTCTCCAGCTACTGGCTCTACTTTCTCATACTTTAATTCTTCCGTATTTTTTAAATTTATACTTGCGGAGTCTGAATTTTCCTGATACAATTCTCTAAATCCATTAGCCTAGTGTCTCTGCCTCCTCTGCTTCACAGGCTCTTCTCTGATTAAGACTGCTTGTTAGTCACAGAATCATAGTTTTAGTTGGAAGAGATCTTCAAGATCATCGAGTCTAGTCTAGTCATCTTCCCATCAACTGTTTTTTTCTCCCTCTGCTTCTGTTTGCTCTGCCCACAATCATTTACTCCCTCTATCTTACAGCTATCATAATCACACTCCACAGAAGTAGCTATTTCTAGCCACTTTTTTTACTATTTCTCCTGTCTTAAGCTTTGCTGGTATAGCAGTTTTCTGTCCTTTCTTCTGCCCCGTATCACATTTTGCTTTGTATTCTGCCACAGTTTATACTGCCCTGACTTTAAACTCCTACTTCTAGCCTAATTAGTCATTATATATATATATTACAGTGTAATTGCAGATGAGCCTTATACTTGCATGTATTTTTCAAGAACACTGCAAACAGCTCTTTGTTATACCTTAGTACTTGTAAATTGGTTCAAGGACCATGTAAGCTGAGCTTCGCTTAAAGTAACTAGAATTTTGGGAATTGCTTTTTTTAACCAAGCTGCCCTTCCATTGTTAATATCTGGACTATTTATCTTTCATAAAATTACTCGGTATTTATTTACTGAGACGCTTTATCTAATGAGACAGAGCACGAGGCAGACTTCACAATATTTAACATTTCATACCCAGGAACACAGGCTTTAATCTTAAGGTCTACATAGTATATGTTAAAAAAAGGATGATTACAAAAGCATCACAAAAAAGCAACTTAAAAAAAATACCTTTCTCCTTTGTATGTTTCATTTAAAAGAGTCTTCATAAATGAAAGTATACACATACACGTGAAGTTAGATTTTTATATATCCTTTTACAAGGCAAAGCATAAGACTTTCAAACTTGATGACAAGCATACAGGAAGTGACTTTTAATTATTATATTTGTATTTTTAGCTTTTGTTTCTTTAATTAAATAAACCTCTTTTGAAAAACCACACAAGGCTAGCAAACATGGGGATTTATTGCTACACTCTTGAGCTGGCAGGAACCATAGAACTAAATTTAAAGTCATCCCCCTTTAAGGCAACAAAAGTTATTACAAGACATCAGTCTTCTTGGTTTAGTGATAAATTACTATGTGCTAAGGGGATAAAGCGTATCTTAAAAAAGCTTGCACAGGCTTTAGTAGTCATGGCAACAGATGTGCACAACATCAGTCCTTTGCTTATCAAAATCACAACTGAGCAGGGGGGAAAACACCTTATTAGGTATATTCAAAGCTTTAATTGATTTGGTTATGATTTTGATGGATTCAGTAGTTTCATATAGCTAGCAAGTTACAACCTTCAATATAGTATAGGATGCTATTTATTAAAATCAGAAAAGTGAAGAGTGAACTTAAGCTGTGAATTACCTTCAGAGATTAAAGTTACCTTTAAATAGCATGCTATGAAGACAGTTCATAGCATAGTCAGGACGGTTGTTAAATCATTTTCAGGTTGAATTACAGAATAGCTTCATGCAGGTAACGCTCATGTATTGAACGGATCATTTTGAGACTAGTACATAGTTCAGTAAAACTCAACATACAAGTTAGAATTGAAGCTGAGAGTGGGAAAAATAGAGAAAATCTTTACTAAATTGTAATTATAACAGCTATACAAGTCCAATAATTCCTTTTACAAGTGATAGCTTTGCCACATTTCTAATATTAAAAAAAAAAAGAAAGTGCAATTATGTTAGCAGCAATGAATAATCTATCTCCAAAGGTGATTGCCTTCTTTAGAGGATAAGACTGCAATTTCTCATTACCTCATGTTTCGTGTATCCCATCCTCGAACTGTGGTATCATTGGCTGTTGCAATCTGTGTACAGTTGTGGTGTGGACTCCATCTTCCAGAAGTGAATTTTAATTGTCCTTTCCCTTCTAAGGCTGCAGAACTAGAGAGCTAAAATAATGAAACAAAGCTGGCAATGTTTCTGAATGTAACGCTGAAATGAAATTAGTTCCACTGAAGACAAAAACTGCACAATAGCCTATTGTTCCAAGTGTAACAGACTACCAAAATCCTAGGATAAAAAAAAAAAAACAAACAAAAAACAGCAGCACAAAAAAACCCAAAAAACCTCAGAAAAGATTAAAAGTTAGAGCTCATTTTGTATTCTGCAAAGTAATTTTTACAAAGGCCTATGAACTGTAATGTATTCAGAAATATGAGAAGTACTGTACTACTTTATAAACTAAACTAAATAAATAGTTTCAGATCATTTGCTGAAACAGTAGATAGACAATATGGGCACACCGTATAAATTTGTAGCTGCCTCAAATGAATAAACACATGCATTCAGTTTCATGAACAGTTCTACAAGACTGTTTTTCCACATCAAAATGCAAATTTTATCTGTAGGAAGAGAATTATAGTGTCAAAGACTCTTTGATAAAAGTATAGAAACTTCTAAAAATAAAAAAAACTCAACGCCCCAATGCCCATGTCATCACATACATGCCTATTAAAATAACAGGTACTAGGACACAAATATACAACATGTGAAAATTAAAAGGTTTCAGTTCCAAAACCAGGCTTGCATGTTATCAAGCAAACAGCTTTCCATTTACACAATTAAAAAAGGAAGATGAAAATAAATCAACTTTCTCTTTGAAGTCATACAGCAAGTTATTGTCCAATTCTACACGAATTTGTGGAAAAATGAAGCTGCAAACATTGCAAATTGCTTTCAATCACCTACTGAAACTGATTCTTTACTATCTGTAGGAGAGGAAAGTAAACCAAAATAACTGCATTTCAATCAGCTACAAAATTTATACAAATTTTTCTGCAGACAGAAGACTTATTTAGTCATCTTTCACATGATGTTCATATTTCAAAATGTTTTATTAGAGGTATTTCCACAAAAGCAGGTTACTGTGCTGGATCTCACTGGATCACTTTTCTCCCTTACCTAAATCCTAACACATCACAAATACTCTATTAAATAGAAGATTTCTCAGCAGAAATACTCCAGTCCAACGGATGAAAAAGACTAAAACACACATACTGTTTAAATAAACTTTAACTGACATAAAAAAAAAAATGCACTTGCAATACAATGTTTAAATGTATTTGTATAAGGCACCAGTGTCTATTTCTGTATTTTGCTAACTTTTTACTATCACAGTTCTACCAAGAATATCATATTTATTTAGCATCCAGATCAACAATCTAGAAATTACAATTCTTCTGTGGCAGAAATCTATGCTACCTAAGATGTGTTATTTTTCAAAAATATTTCGGTTTTCTTTTAAATGATGTAGAACTCCCATTATGCAAGATCATATATTGCTCATGTGTTAATGAGTGACAGAACACTGTGGCCACACCCCCTCCTCCTCAAGTACAAATACAATGTGGAAATTTTTCTACAACTTGCAAATTATTAATATTTTTAAAAAATTACTGTACAGGACACCGGAGGGAGGACAATAAAATAAATTGCACTGTTTATTTTTGGCACATGCTAGATTCCAGGCACAAGAGAACATGAAGAGCTGGAGTAGGTAATTTCAAAAATTAAACTAAGTTTCTTCAGTAAGTAGTCGAGGCCATACAAAGCTCAGACTAGAGGGAGAGGAGGGAAACAAATGTTAACGTCAGTAAGATAGTAACGACAAAAAGAGTATCTCTTATCAGGCATTTCCAAATTTGCTCTTGAGAGAAAAAGCATCACATATCCAAAATACTACTCCGGGAAGAAGGTCTTTGTCAGTAGTAGACAATATCTTCCCCAGCATTCTTGCCATATTCTATGGCGGTTTTTTTAAGTTTTCATTTCAACTTTCATCATGTAAACTATTATAAAAGCATGATTTTTTTTTTTTTCTTCTCAGCCAAAACTTTAGGAGTGAGGCCAGCATACGCATCCTGCACTATTTCTTAACAACGCATGTGAAAAAAAATCACATACACGTTGGACTGGCCAAGTCATCCTTGCCTTTCCAAACAATTCTTACGTACTTGTATGAATTAAATTACATCCTTCCTTGTATGGATGACTTTGTCAATAAAATGAAATCCCCAAAGTTACTCAATCAGTTTTTGTTCAATGTTTTTCTGCATGTCTTCTATGAGCCTGAAAGGATCTGGATGGATTTAAAAGACATCTAAGAGGTAAAGGAGGGAAATTTTCACACCTAAGAAAGAAGCCTTAGGTAGCAGAAGGCGGTCTGCAAGTTTCCTTCCTGGAAATCCAGGAAATGAGCTTAAAGGCAACAAAGTTGACAGTCTGGAATCACAAATGCAGGTTCAAAAAAACCCCTTAGCTTTAGTTTAATTCATACCTAAATGTACAGACAGGCAAGTAAGCTTTCTTTTTATCCTCAACTCTTCTCTCCACTTCTTTAGAGGCAGAAAAGCTGACTACAGAAGGAAAGGAAAACATGACAAAGGCATATTTTAGACATTAATCTCACATTAGGATCTGGATTTGTGCTGCCCAGATGAAAAGATGCAGCTCTGACAGCCTTAGTGGATACTGAAGGAAAACAATCCATGGTGATATTTTATAAACACAAAATGTGACATAATAAGGAATAAAATAAAAGGAAAAAAAAAAGGAGATCTGAAAAAAATTAAGCAATGTAACACGGTCAGAATAGAACTGTGTATGTTGTCCTCAATGAAGGAAGTGGCTTTACAAAAGCAAAGTATCTGAATATGAAAAAGGCTATCCTAGCTTTGAATGACTGACTTCTGTGTGTTCAAATGAAAACATCAGTTACTCCAACTTATTTTTTTCAAAACATCGGTAATAACTGAGACATCTCTTTTTCTGCTTCAGATTTTGATCTTGTAAGGACTGATTAGGAAAAAGGAAAGGACAGGCAGGATCTTTAAAGAACAAAAATCAACATATATTAACCTCTAGAGGCTACAAAAATTATCTAGAAAAACCACAAGCAGAATGAAGACAGTGAACCAACTGTTCATACCCTCTTTCAGAAAAAAGAGGGATGGGCCATCACATGAAGTTTGTAGAAGTTGGATTCAAAGGTGAACAAAAGAAAGTGGTTCTCCACTCAGACTCCTTGACAAAAGACACTGAAATGCATAAAACTTACTTACGTCCAAGAACAAAATAAGAAAGTACTTGGAAGAAAGATTTATTGAGGGTTACACTAAGCAGACAAATTCAGTTAGACTCAAAAAATCCTTGGATTGGAAGTAGAAGACTGCCTGAGTGTTAAGGGCAAAGCATTCGACACCTTTGGCCCACTGAACCTTTCCTTGGAGTCCACTACGGCCACCGTTTCAAGCAGAATATACCAGGGCAGGACGGACGTGGGTACTGACCAGCGTAACCACTCAGACCTGAGCAGCACGAAGCAGATGAATGGCAGAATTTATCAATCTTCCCTCTGAGGGTAGCTGAAGGGGCAGTACTTTTCTTCTCTCACAGTATGTGATAAAGGACCAGTTCTAAAGTTCTACAAACTTCTGGATGAAATGGTAACTGGAAATATGTAGCTCTGTTCCCTCACTACACTCTAATAAGTAAGTTTCTGTATGCACAATTTGGAGTTTGAGGTTCTTTATTTTTAATGTATGAACTAATTCTAAGGTAGAATGGCTAAAAATTAATAATTATGTCATGCATTTGAAAGGTCAGTTGTCTCCCTCAAACAGACTTCGACATAAACCATCAGAAAACAACTCCCAAGAACAAAATAGTTACAAAACAGAAAATGTTCTAACGTTGTAATTTGATTAATTAAAACAATTGACCCTTACGGATAACAGAAAAAGTACCAAATGCTACGCTTCTTAGTACATATAAATGGTTACCAGCAATACTCAAGCAATGTTCTTAAAACAAAGACTAGCATGAAAATGCTAGAACTATGAAGTTTTCTTTTCTGTTAATCAAAATCAATCCACTTGCTAGAGTGTGTAACATCAGCAAAGAGACGTATATTACTTCCAGAATTTTCTCATTTGAAAAAGTGGGATTATATTGTCATTACATAGAAAGAGTAAAAGATGCACATTTCTATGTAAAGGCTTAGCAACTACAGCAACCTTCTAAATATTTAGCAATACACTAGTATCTTTCTTCTTCTTTAAGGAAATTGTTTTCCTTTCTTGACAAAAGCGGCCATTACAATTTGAACTATGTAAAACATATCATTGGGGTTTTTTAAACATTTAGAAATTATTTGAAATATAAAAAACAGAAATCTTTTAGTTTATAAATGAGAAAACATGGGTTTTGACTTCTGAATGCCTTTTTTCAAAGTAAGTACTTTTTCAACAACTTTAGTTTTCTTACACCTAAAGCAGCAACTGTGTTTAACACAGGAAAAAACCCACAAAACAAAATAAAAAAAAACACTCTAAGGAACTACTCACATCTTACCCAAGAGGCCATAATACTAAAAATCCAACAGATGTTCTAATGCATTCTAGGTAAGATCAGTTAAGTCATTACACCATCTATGAAATATTCACAGGGTTATATTACACATGCTTATTTGATCTTGACTGCCTCTTCAGTGAATACAGGGTAGTGAAGACACCTTAAACCATTAAGACCATAAAAATTTAGAATTTCTAAAGAGTACCAAAACTGGAAGTTAACTTATGGCAGTGAATATTAAATTCGTTGAGATAAATCACATACAACCATTTTTTTTTGCTTTTTAGTCATACCCCTCATGAACTGGAAATGGGTCACAATTCTGTTCATGCTGGAGGATGCACCAAGATCTCAAGGCAGCCTCAAGGAACTATCCTAATAACCACAGCAACAAAGCCACTGAAAGACTATATTGAGATTCACATTAAGAAGGGTTGAGTGTTGGTGTGGCTTGTTACTGATAGACATAGAAATATTGATGAGGACTTTAAATTCACTAATTTGAATTCCTCCTGTTGCAGGCAACTATGCCACGTAGTCATTTCGTTACTCTTCTTGTCTCCTGAACCATCTCACAGTCATCTGCCTTTTCAAATAGCCTCATCATATTGGCAGCTCAGAGTCATTCCTAGAATAGCTAAGTAAAAGAATCTACAATACTTTAAAAAAAGTGTTGGGTTTCTATGCCACAGCAAGAAAATATTTTTATTCCTTAAACACAAGTCTTCTGCTTTGGTGAGTGCCTGGCCTCTGGCCAGGGCCAAACCACCACAACTAAACATCAAGTTCATTCTCTGAAATATATTGTTACTCCTATATACATACAGTGATGCACTTCAAGTTTCTGTCATCAATGATTTTCACCATTGCTCTTCTACTTCTATGTTATGGATAAGGAGATGATTAATCAAAATTGGTCCAAATATCAACTCTTTAAGAATTTGCTTTCTATCCTTTCTGATCCAATAACTTCCCTTTCATTTTTTAGACAGTTTTTTGTCCTCCTTTAATTAATCTATGTTTATGCCAGCTGCAGTAATTACAGGGCACTCTACAAAGCTCTCCACCGAAGTCCACAATGTATTTTTTGCCTTGAGGAACAGCAGCCCTCTTGCTAAGAAAGCATGTAATGATAATTCCTAACATCCTCTTATGTTTGGATATGTTACTTTAATCAAGATAAGACTCTGAAATTTTCCCCATGAGATCTTCTATCTTGCCTGGGATGCCACTACCAGATATGTTCTGTTGCTCTGAATTAAGATCACCTATGTGTTTAAAGCTACTAAAGAATCCAGAAGGGACAAGAGATCTAAAAGGAATCTAATTAATCATTTAGATCAGAATGATCAAGAATATAGCTGTACTCCTCCCCGCTGTGAAAACACAAGGCAAACATCTCCATTTCACTCTGTTGCACTCAGCTGCCATTCCAAACACACTGCACTTACCCACAGAAGAGTTCTGGTGACATCTGACCTAAAGTCTGTACACAGAACTACTAACTGTCATCTTTTCAGCAGAATCTACCTAGACCTTCTAGGTTGGTTGGGCTTCTCTTGGGCTCAGTTAATGATTATAAACGACAGAGAGCTAATTTAATTGCAAAAGGTAATGATGCAGTGAGCATAAGATTAGTTTCACCCCAGAAGGTAATGTCCTCAAAACAATAATAAAGGGAGTAATCGAAAAGACAGGAGAAGCTTGTCTTAATGCAAATACAGACAAATATTCCTGTATTAAACACTATAATGAAGAAACAAGCTAGCAAAAAAAAAAAGTTGAAGAGAAAAAAAAAAAAGAACTCTTCAGTAAGTTACAGTTAGCAAATGTTTCCTATGACAGGTTCACCATATATTTCAGAGAATGAACACACCAGTAAGTTTATTACAGAGAACCTCTGAAAGCATCCGAAACCCTAAAATTCTTCAGGTTAATTCTAATTAAACACTGTGACTTGTAACTCCCAGGCAGATAGGAGATGCACCCCATAAAAGACTCTGAAGTTCTGATCAGTGTAAGCAAGCAGAAATTTTGGCCTATGCAAAATTCTCAAGACACACGTATTTTCAGTTTTTCAACAATACTACATCTGAGTTTCAGATGAACTTTTCCACAAACATGAAAATTCCAAAAAGAGTAGCACTAGGTTTGCCTCTTGCCTTTAAAGTTAATATTCAATATTTGTGCCTATAACACACAACTACGCAAAATGGAAGCAACTGAAATGTGTTCCTGTTCGCACCAGTATAATGAATATCTCCTTACTTCTATTACCTGACAAAGATATAGCAAACCAGATCCTACTTTTAGTTAACAATGACGATGCCATTCAACTTGCACATCAAACATCTGTGTTCCTTAGAGTCTTGTTCAGCTGGACTCTGGTTAAGTGAGGAACCCAGACATGTTTAAGACAAATTTGCTGCAGCCAAAAGTTCAACAGGAATGCAACAGTACTAGTCATCTTAGAAGAGATTCACCTGCCTTAAGATTTAGATGCCTGGAGATATGTTTTCTAAGAGTTGCGTTTCCATGGACTTTCGCTATTAAACTCCACTTTAAAAGCAGTCACTGACTCAAAGAATAAAAAAACATCGTCTAAGAGTAATTTAAAATTGCTGGAGCAGAAGACATAACCGTAAACAGTTATTTCCAGGCAACATTTTAATCATAAACAATTCTAATTTATGGTGCATTCACATGAGATATTAGATTATTTTAAACAAGTATAAAGAATCAGTGAAATTCTGTATCAGGTCTCCTGAAAGCTTGACTATAAAAACAATATTCCTAACTTCCGCAGATTAAGGTTTTTAACAAACATTTCAAAATGTTCCTATCTCGAGATGTCAGTTAGTGGTTAATATATCTATTTTCTAGTCTTAGCTTCATTATATGAAGCAGGTTTTTTGACGCAGAATTTCAATTTTGGTTTCTCTTGTTTCCTTTTATCCACTAAATATCAATAAGAGGTGGCACAATCAGACAGAAATCTATGCCAATGTCACCTTTTTATATATGTTCCTGAACAAAAACTTTTAACAATAAATGAAATAATCTGAGTAGACAGTATAGTGCTGAATTAAATTAATACCAAGAACTCAAAGCACTGCACAGTAAATAGAGAAATTTATATTGTGCTTATCTGTACAATAAGGATTGTAAATTAAACAGAAGGCTTCATGGTATTAAACAACATATGTTAATATACTATTATTCGAATTGAATACCCTTTGGCTTTACTGACCACCAGTTCTTCCCATGTACACATTTATCAAATTAGCACCACTTTACTTGAAACTATTCACTCTAAAACCAGTAGGAAAGTAAGGGGAACTCTAGAAGAAGGAAAATATTTAACCACTAGCAACACATGCAAAATACTATTCTTAAACATGCATATTCAAGACAACTGATAGTCATTTCCCCCACACATGTTAGAGACAACAAGGTATTTCTGAATGTGTAGTTAAAAGATTAGCAAATTCTAGGCTAGTGAATGGTGTCGTTTGTACTATATTCAAGTATATCATGACTTCTCAAAAAGAAAAAAAAAAAAAAGTCTTACCACAGCTTGGGCTGAGCTTTCCTGCAAATCCCACAATAATATGTTATTATCAGCCAGCGAGATAATCTTTTTACCATCTCCCATTGGCTCCCACATAACACTGTAAAACAGAAGAGAAACAAACAAAAAAAATCTAACGTTCAAACCAATCAGAATTTGCACTAGAAAGGCATTTTAACTCTTTGGATCTACACCAAAATCATAATAAACCATATTTTTTTTCCTTCAGCTGAAATCCATCCCATATTTTAAGTGTAAAATTTGCCATTAACTAGAAATCTAGCCATTTTTACACATACTAGATGAACATTATTGCAGCATCAGTTCCTTAAAAGCTATGTGATATCAAACTTAGGCTTGCTCATGGAATCCTTTAGTCAGTGCTAATGTACACATTCTTTTTCTTTTGAGCATCCTTTGACACCCCATCCAAAACCGTCAGAAGGATTGCCAGTCAGCTTCCCGAGATGCTAGTCGAACTGTAAAAAGAGCACTTCCTGAAATCCCTTCTCCATTTGTTGTCCATTCTGCATATTCAGTAATACAGCAATCACACAAAACACTGATTACATCATTGGAGCTGTCATTCTGTATCCGTACACAGAAAAAAACCAGAGACTTTGACATACATTCACTTTCGAGTGCTTTAGCTTGAAATCTCCAAGTTCTTCGTATATAATGTTGTGCATCCTTTTTGAAGATGCACCAAAAGTCATAAGCCTCAGAGCTCTGAAGCACACCTCTTCTGGTTCAACCTGACTCAGTCAACACGTATTTTTTACCTGTGATTCACCAGTTTTATGTTATACATGAAGGAATGCAAGATTAGTTCTGCCTATGAGAAGCAGCATACTCAAGCCAGTCAGCATGGGCAGTACAGCTAAGTATATGCATTATAAGCCTAATGAATTTGCTAGAGGTAACAGTAAGGTTAACAGAATAAAACTTGTTGTTTGATGAGAAGAGGCTTCCATACAACAATGGTTTTAGTTGCGCAACCTCCCAACCATCTTTTAGTGACACAACATAGCTGAAGGCTGAGATCACAGCCTTAGTACTGAAAGCTACATGAAGAAACTTCTTTCCATCTCCTGACAAAAACCTCAGTTATTCAAAGGCATTTGATATGCTCTTCTCATCCTCAGTGCATATATAAAGTATCACCTCTTGAAGTTTGTCAAAAGTCTGTCACTAGACACAAGTCTTCTAGCCTGTTTAGCTTTTCACATTAATCAGTTCAGTATCTAGATTGAAGAGATGAAAGAAAGTTGCATAAGTACATGCAGCCTTGGGCAAGTGAGCCCAACATTAGGCAGTCACTAGCTGCCTTCCTAACTTAGTGCTACACGTTACACAAGCTCCTAGTTCATCACCCCTTTTGCAGACCCAGATCTGGCTGGACTCAGATCTAGGCCATGAAACTCCGTCTATTTTATAAAACACAAAGAAAAGAAAATGAGAAATTGCCAGTAAGAGTAAGAAGTGACAGAGTCGGGTTTTTTCACACCATAACTGAAACACAACCTCGGTTATTCTCATAAGCAGTTTCACTGTTTCTAACTCCGTAAAACAAGTAAAACAGGCTGCCCAGAGAGGTTGTGGAGTCTCCTTCTCTGGAGACTTTCAAAACTCGCCTGGATGTGTTCCTGCGTAGCCTGTCCTAGGGGATCCTGCTCTGGCATGGGGGGCTGGACTAGATGATCTCTCGAGGTCCCTTCCAACCCCTAACATTCTGTGATTCATACACGGGCAGATGATTGCACCTGTTTGCTGTTACAGAGAAGCAAGACTATGCAGAGAAAACAGAACTACGCCAAAAAAGAAAACTAACACCAAGGAGATGAAAAAGCTGGAACTATAACTAAAAAGTTATGTTGGCTGACCCCTTAACCATCGAACTTTTCCCTGAGGCAACAGAGCCGGTAAAAGAAAGGACTGGCTTCCGCACCCACCTTCTTCTGGAGTTAGGACTTGCATACTTATTATGTCGTCAATCCACAAAAATTAACTACTCCTAAAAGTTCATTTGTAATGAGCTCTCTTGTATTAAGACAAAATATCTTCATTTAGCACATTAAGCTATCATCAAGTTTTCAAATGCATTTTAACAAGGACATGGTACTAGAATAATTCTATGATTTGCTTTAATTTTGGCTGGTTTGTCTATAGCATTGCCAATTTAATTTTCAAAAGTGTTTCTGGGTAAAGTTGTACAGTACAACTGCACAAACTTATAAGCAATTGAAAACGAGCATTGATAATAAAAATGACAAAGTAATTTCAATTAAATGTTCAACAATCATTTGGCTGGTAGTAACGAGGAGCAACCAAGAGGCCCTGGCATGGGTATTTGAGAATTTCATATAGTTCTTCTCCACATATACATTTATTATATCCTTCAAAGAGATGAAAGCATTTTATGAACATCATATACCAGGATTAAAAAATAAAGCACTAACACCTGCATGTGGTAACAGCTAACCTTTCACAACCTAGTATTCCAAAGTGAAATTAAAAAACATCAGGATCATCATACAACTGAATGGGTAACTAAGAAATCTTCAAGTTGATTCAGATTACATTTACTGATTTGAAGTCTATCATTTTTCTTATATATTGCTGAAAGTCCAGCTGGCATTGGTGTCGATAAATTTTTAATTATAGACAATGAAATCTGGTGTGATCAATTAACTCTTCGAGTTCTTCCAGTCAGAGATCAATATTCTTCATGCTTGTTGATGTATTTGCACCCCTTCTGCACTGATCGCTGAACCTTCAATTGTGAAAGTTCAACTGGAAGCACTTTCTTTGATGTGTTCAAAAGTAGAAAGAAATTTTATATCTTTGAGTGTCACTGAGCTTCAAGGTAACGAATTTTTATAGCTGAATACAGTGTGCTAATTACAGCCAATTATAACCAAACTGACATATCTTGGAATGAAAAGGTCTCTCCGCATTCACTCTGTCCTTGTGAGATGCCCATTCTGTTTCTATCTAATTTGTCTTTTAAGAAAGTTCATTGTTTTATGGCTGTGTTTGTTGGGATCATTCAGATTTTATAATCTAAGCGAAGGTTATTCAAATCACTTTTTGAAACATGTTCAGCTGTATTCTCTAGTCATGACTGAGTGTTAAACAGGAAATAACATGGAGAAGGAAAAAAGAAAATACTTGTGAGAAAAAAAAACTTGGTTTTCCACATAAGATACAAATTTTACCAGAAAACATTTTCCTTTAGAACAATTTTCAGACATAGAAGAGGTGGTGATAATCTTTAAAGAGGAAAACAGATAAACCAGGCAACACCATTTTCCTGAGTATGCTAACAGTTGCTGATGCTTACAGTTTTCAGAAATGAACAAGATAATTCTCAAAATCACAGCTGCCACTCAGAAGCTGAGTGTCAACTTCACCACTGCTCTTTAGATAATCTATAAACAGCAGACAAGCAATTATATTTGTTGTCTTTTACCCTATTTTGTTATCACCTGACTCCTGATGCTTCAAATTAGCTTCTAGCTAGTAGGTTTTGTTTAAAAAGAAAAAAAAAATTACATCCTACAGAGAACATTTCTCTAGTAAAGAAAAACAGAGAATTTAAAAAATTCACTCAAATGCACACATGAAAGGACCCTATTATCTGTGGTTTATGCTGAAAAGATAGTTAACACCATCATTTATTAACGTACTGAGCTTTTACAAATGAACAATTTGAAGTTCTCCATTATAGACTAAAGAAGAATAAAGCAACATGAAAATGCTTTCATAGATGTGAACTGCAGTCGGCCACAATGTGTTGGACAAAGCAAGCATTAACTACTGCTTAACCATAATTATAGAAGTGACAACTAGTCATTTATGTAAGTGGAAAAATTTTGCTAGGCTGAAAATCCTCAAGCACTTCAAAACAGAAAATACACCCAGACACTTGGTAACTCAGCAGAACATCCTGTAGCCTCAAAGTAGCTCATTAGAAAAATTCACGTTATGGACTCAAACACTGTGTCTTCGCTGCAGTACACTGATTCAAACTTAATGGTGACTCTGCTAACCAGATGATTTGGACATAACTCTAAGAGGAAGGAGACCAGAATGAGGGCAACTTAGAATCCACAATTCTACCAGCCCACACATTCTGTGATTCTATGATTATTATTCCTTAACCAAGTGTTTTACCGAGTGGCCAAACTCTGAACGAAAAGAGTTCTGGCTATTTTGTAGTGTATTTAAGGTCATCCTGCAGGAAGCATATGTGAGGTATGTTTTGCCTCAAAATTCTCAGCCACTAAAATATATTTTCATGTCCAATTCCTCAAGACATAGTAAAACCAGAACCATAGCTTCCTAAAAAAACTGAAACATAGAGTGAATTTATTTTAAGTGCCGTTTTAGTTAAGGTGCATCTGAGAGGAATGAGAAATGAAGTTAAAGATTAATTTGGATGAGACATCCAAAGACACATGAGCTTTATTCTGGCTCTTAAATTATTTTTACATTCAGAAGAATAACTTCTGTATAAACAAATACAAGAGTATCCCAACAAGGAGATGAAACAGAAAAAGCACTTACCTCTAAAATATTTTTAATTTTGTTTTCCACAAATTATCATACTATAATGTTGACAACCTCATAAAGTCGTTTTGAAAAAAAATCACAAAGGAGAATGCAAAATAATGAAGGACCATCCTTGATATTCATATTTACTTCACTGCATGTCCTTATCTACTGCAGCTGCAATTAAACATGTTTATAATGAGAAAAAGAACTGTGATCTTGCTTTATGGGCCCAATTAATTTCGGCATTGAAAATGTAGGTACGTACCTGGAAACACAACAAAGATAATCTGAATCCTAGGAGTTGACAATCTAATAGAATGCACCTGAAAGATCTAGTTCCAATCCCCCTGCCATGGGCAGGGACACCTCCCACTAGACCAGGTTGCTCAAAGTTCCATCCTGCCCCTGAACACTGCCAGGGAGGGGGCTTCCACGACTACTCTTCTCAGTTTGGCTGCAGCTATTTTTGCCATCCATCCCGAGTAACCGACAAATGAATTATCACATATAGACAACACATTTCCTAATCTTGTAAGTG